AAATATCGTAACAATCTTTTCAAATGTTTCCAATGTGTTTCATTATAACATGAGTTATATTGGCTCAGAAAGCTAACACTATAAGAGATATCTGGCCTTGTGAGAACTGAAAGATACATCAGTGATCCAACTAACTGTTGATAAGGATAAGTCTCACTACAATTGTCATTAACAGCCGTTTCTAATTTCAAGTTTACTTCCATTGGAGTATCTGAAGTTTTACAATTAATCATATTGAATCTTTTTGAAATATTATCAATAAATTGCTCTTGGTCCAGCGTTATACAATCCTTTTGAACATTTACATTCATGCCAAGTCAATTTTTTATTTGACCCAAATCTTTAATCTTGAAATCTGACTCTAATACACTCCTCATCTCTTTGTAAATGTTGTTACAGTTATAAAATACAAAAAAAGTCATCGACAAATATAGCTACATAAACTTTTACATTATCATGACATTTCATGAATAAACAGGGTTCATATTTAGATTTCTTGAAGCCTAAGTTTAACAAACTGGATTCCACTTTTATGTACCAAGCCCTAGTTGACTGTTTTAGTCCATATATGGCCTTTTTTAACCTCAAAACTTTATTATCACAATTTTTGAAATCTGAATTTTCTGGTATTTCCATAAATACACATTCATCTATATTACCATTAAGGAAAGCTGTTGGTACATCTAAGTGGTTCATTTTTAGGTCTAGTTGAACACTTCGGGCAAAAAGTAATCTCAAAGTAGAATAATGCAAAACTGGTGAAAATGTTTCATTATAGTCCATACCTTGGATCTGGGTGAAGCCCTTAGCTACAAGTCAGGCTCTGTAGCGCTCATTACTACTGCTGTGACCCTTTTTCTTGAAACCCCACCTGTTTTTCACTATTGTGCACTCCCTTGGCCTATCCACTGACTCCCACGCATCATTGTCCTTGAAAGGTTTCAGCTCTTCTTGCATAGCACTACACCAATGCTCTTTTTCAGACCCTGTGAGAGCGTCCTGTAGAGATATTTGTTCACTAGTAAAGTCTTCAACACTCATATTGGAAAAACCATATCTCTCTGGTGCACGACGAACTCGCTTCTCTGTATGAACGACAGCATCACTTTGATTGGCAACCATACTGTCATCAGTTGTTGAGCACTCACTATATTCTTCATCTTGATCACTTGAGGACTCACTTGCAACATAAGTCGGGTCTTCTCTGCTTGATCTCTCATCTTCAATGCTTGTCAAACTTTCCTCCTTACTTGCATTCTTTTCTATAATCTTGTCTGGCTCCCTCTCTTCAACCATAACTTCTATTGTGTCTTTTGACTACAACAAGTTCATTAAAAAAAACCAGGTAAGAGCATTTGTGCTATCACGTCATCATGTGTGCGTGAATACTCTTATCCAATTTTTCCAAGAACTGAGTGCGATCGCATTCGTGCCGGTCATGGTATATCTCCAGTTCTTCATAGACTAGCCCGTGCTTACGGTGCTGTCCATGATAGCTTCTAACTGCCGTGACGTCCCTCGTCAGCGGGCTCTTCGGTAGAAAGAACTTGAAAAATTTCTGAGCCAGTCTCCTGATATGGTCGGTGACTGACTCTACTTCTGCCAGATCTAACAGATTGTTCACTGTTAGTGCAAATACGGAGCACCTTATTCTGAATTCTCTCGAGTCTCATTAAAGGGGATTTCTTGAGACTGCAGAACACAGGACTCGCGTACAACATAGCCGGCCTAATTATTTGTTTATAAATAAGCAACTTGTTGTCAACACTGAGCTTAGAGTTCCGTGCAATGAGCGGACGGATCGATAGTCATTATGATCTTTGCCCTCGCCTTCCTATTTTCTGCTTCCGTTAGCTCCGTGGTACTGGTCACATCCACGCCTTCCAGAATCATGAAGTACTCGGCGGCAAACGCCCAGTCATCGTAATTCTCGCGTCCTTTTAGTTTAGGAACATTCACTGAGTAGTTACTCGACATTTTAGCACTGATAGATTTGATAGTCTATAAAAACTAATTGCTTTTGGATACTGGGCCCAGAACCTAATAAAACACGGTAATGGTTGACAACAGACTTACTTTTTTATTTTCATAGATAATGAAAGTAGGTACATAAGTTTACACTCATATATAATAGATGGCGTTACTCGGATGATATTCTGTTATAAGTTGCAAATTTATTTATGACAAAAATATCATTGTCAACCTATAAAGTTTTAGAGTTAGAGCTATTTGATAGGTGCGAGAGAGAAAGAAGAGAGTCCAAGGTTCATGTAATAGAACAGGCCTCAACATAGTAGATGCACGCTACCTGACCGTTGAATGTATCCGAGTGCGCATGCTCGTGTACAGTCGAAAATCATTAATTAGTGACAAAACGTGCTAAATAATATTAACTGGGATGTCAAAAAAGTGTTTTGGTGTGATACAAGAAGAAACTAATAGTTTTTTGTATCACACAATGAAAATTAATTTTGAACGTGCTCTTTAAAATTGGCATTGGTTCATGAAAAGAGCGAAGGTGATGAAAAAAAGTTGATCAAGATTGTTTAAGATTAATTCAAATAAAAATAGCTATGTGAACTTGTCGATAGGCAAGTTATCATAAGCATGTTGTTAATGAATTATATTCGATAAAAAAAATATGTCGATCTCTCACCGGCTCTCAAACAGAGAAACAAGAAAGTGAAGCTGGAGAATAGTATTGATAGGAAATACCCATTCCTCTTGGCTGAGAATCCTGTCAAATTATTTTCTCCTTATTTATTTACTGATCCCGAGTAGGTGTCACTTCAGTCTGAGTATCCCGACGAAAAAAAGTCGTCTTGATTTCATTCAGGTTGGAGCCTGGCTCCCTCACCTTTTCAACTGATGTAAAAAAATCAATTCCAGCTGGTCATAAACTCTTTCTGCAGTTGATTCGGTAGGATGTCTGCTGCGCCACCTGCAGAAAAAGCCCTGAAACAACTCCACAAATACATACCCCAAGGTTGAAGTCAGAATAGTGATGACATTCTGGAGAGGTGCATTACATGCCCAAGGTTAAGGTGAAAAAACCTTACCCCTTGCCTCTCATGTGGACTTTCGATTTTATAGGTACGTGTGGCAGATACCCAACGGAAAGACAACAACTACAACTAGTTGTAAAACTCTAGATATAACCAAAAGATGACAAATGAGACTTTGCCGAAACGTTGGTCCAAGTCTCCAGAAAACACTGTAGCGTCTTGGGCTCATTGCGTTCATTTTCCCATCTTCTCATGACACCCATTCTATCAGTCTCGTTCCCTGTACTAGTTTGTACAGGTTCCGAGTTGGATGTTCGTCATATTCTTCTTGACGTAATTTTGTACATTTATATATTGCCTGCCTCCTGTTATTCAGTGCCTCACATTCGCATAAGATATGTAGAGCTGTTTCTATACCTTCGTTGCATAATCTGCAGCTGAGGTCTCCGTTGTACAGCCCCATTTTATTCAGGTGTTCTCTAAGCGGACAATGACCGGTTAGTAACTCTGTAATTATTCTGAGCCAATCCCCACTATATTGAAGTAGTTCTTCGGTTCTTTTCTCGGACGGTTCCCTAATGAAGGTTGTTACGGTTTGGATGGTCCACCCCGAAACTTCAAAAAAACTAAATTGGTCCGATAAGCCGATCGCGTTCGCTCGCAGCTCATCCAAGTGGAGAATTCGTTCCTTGAAAAGAAAAGGAAAAAAAGTGAACAGCTGATCTGGGTTTTGATAAACAAGTTCTCTTCTGGTCGTGTGTATGTGTTGGTATTTCGAAATTGTACCTTTTTCTCTATTGTGCAATAAGATTTGAAGTGATGTAACTTACTTACTTGACTTACAAGAATAAGGAAGGGCACTAAAGTGAGAACTCGAGTAAGAACGTAATGATGGAGTAGAATGTGGCTTATTATAGTTAGTTGAGTGCTTCAAAGTTGAGAAGGAATTGGTTTTCATAGTTGTCTCTGCTCCTGGTTGTGGTAGAGTCTAATATCTGTGGGGAGAAGCATTTCAAAGCGATATTAGAAAGAGCGTTTCGCCAATAATATTCACTACAGGGCGGATAAAATACTGTATAAGCAATTGTGCCTTTTCCTTTGTTACTTATTCTGGATACGAGAGGTTTTGTGGACGTAAGGACCCTAAAAAGGTAACTCAATACGTATTCAAGAGCAACTGGTGAGTGACTTTATTTTTTTGGGCACTTTATAGGGTTCCAGTGAGGGGGCCACTAT